GCGGCGGAGGCCGCCGTGGGGCGGCGGGGAGCAGCGGGGCCGCCCTGGGCTGCCCCGTGTGAGAAGGGAGCCCCGAGGCGGCTCCCCTGGGCCCGGGTGCCCGAGCGGGGCGCGTGTCTCCCACCCGTGTCCTCCCSCACCCGTGTCCTCCCCGTCCTGACACCAAAGCTGGGGGAGGAAGAGGGAGAGGGCGGGAATCTCCCGTGACCGGGCGGGTGACGGCGCCCGGGTGACGTGGGCACCGTGGGTGACAACAGTCGGGTGTCCTGGGCTGTGTGGGTGACAACAGCCGGGCCCGGCCCTGCTGCGTGGCTCCTGCCCAACCAGTTTTCCGAGGCGCCTCCTCCGCGCCCCGTACGTGGAGGTGCTGTGGGAAGCCCGAGGGCTGGCTTGGAAACCTCCCTTAATCCTCTGCGCTCCTCTGGAGCAACCCTGGCCGGGAGCTTGGCCCTCGCTCCATCTGGGATGCGAGTTCTCGCCTTCCCCCCACCCCGGCGTTGCGAGGTGGGCAAAGAGGTGGCAGGAACTGCAGGAAGCTGCCGTCCTCCCGCCGCCGGCATCAGGAAGGAGCACGGTGTCCCTGGTGCCCACCCGGAATGTGGCCGTGCGGGATCAGGAAGGAGCACGGTGTCCCTGGTGCCCACCCGGAATGTGGCCGTGCGGGATCAGGAAGGAGCATGGTGTCCCTGGTGCCCACCCGGAATGTCCCCTCACCTGGCTACAGCTCTGGCTCCCACCGTCTCCCAGCTCCCAAGCTGTTCTGCCCTCAGGGATCTGTGGGAGGCTGTTTGCGTTACAGAGGGTGGTCTTGTACCTAACTCGGTTACATTTTTCTTTTATTTTCCTACATGCAGCTATGCAATGAATATACCATTATCCCCCCTTAAAATGACTTGCCTGTAGTATTGTCCTCGGAATTGCTTGTGTGATTCACCCTTGCTGTGCCGGTCTGCAGGACCCAGTGTTGCGTTGTGTGTCACCCCTGAGCTCTTYGTGCACTTCCTGGAGACGTCGTGCCTGTAGTTCTGGGAACAGTAATAGCACCATAAAAAGAAATCGCTTTTTCAGTATCACTTCGTTTGTTTGCAGTGGCTGTTTATTAGGCTGAAAATTATTCATGGATGGAGGGGGAAAGGTTCATACGTAGATGTCTTCCTCTTTCAAATGCCACGGAAGTTTTGGGGCTTTCAGCTGGAAGCTGTTAAGCCTGGAGTAATTTCAAGCATAGATGTTTTGCAGTATCCCTAATTGTTTGSGAAAGGACAGTGTGAATTCCTCTTTTCTGCTTCTAGAAAAATTAGCCTTAAAAAACAAAAAAACATGGCTACCCTTTATGGTTTCATTTCTCATAGTACCCTTTTTGGGTAGATTTTTCACGTTACAAACCCCATTAAATGAAGTAGCAATGCCCTGCCATGTTACCTCCGTGCATGAGAAACAGCCAAAACACTTGCTGTAAAGCTTAACAAAAGTTGAAGGCTGCTGGAGCGATTAATCTCTACACTGTAAATAATAGTTACATTTAATAAGTGGGCCTTACCAATAAGTAATTTTGTAMATGAGAGTGTGGGGGGGAAAAACCCTCCCCTGAGGAGTGAAACGTTTTGCCTGACAGGCAGTGTTCAGGCTTGCTTGCCRTGGCTGTTGTCAGGAAGCGTAAAGTCTCTATTTTTATACTTAAACATCTGCTAATGGAAGAGGCTTGAACACCATGGCTTTGTAGCCTGACTTGAAGCTGAGCCAAACTCTTGTGGAGGAGAAAAATCACCATTGAGACAGAATAAAAACAGAGAAAAGCAGCATTCAGGGCTTGCATCTAGAAGTATCTTAGCTGTTTTCCCGGGCTTAGTAATGCCCCGACTGTGTTGTGATCTCGGATAAAATATTTCGTCAGCTGATCTCTGTTGCAGTTGGGCCTGATTGGCTGAAGAGATCTGAGCTCACAGGGAATATCTTGTTGCCAAGAGTTGAAACCTGCAGAAAAGTGTGCACACAAAATCCTTGCTGTGTGATTAAGGCCCTTGCTGTAATGCAAGGAAATGTGCTTTAGTTTGCACTTTGCTCTAGTGCAAAGACAGATGCTTTTTTTTTTTTCTTTTGTTACTGAATAGGATCTATATTGTTGAAACATTAACAGTGCATACTTAAAGAAATTAATTTTATTGATATTTCATATATTTGAAATGCCAGGATTTAGTAAGCTACCAGTGGCATTACTCTTCATTTCAAATGAAAGGAAACTGCACAAAGTACAGCATGAGCTGGACATCTGCAGAGCATTCAGCAAACCAAATGTTTATGCACTACTGAAAACTTTTCTCAACTATGAATATTTTCTTTACAGATATAATAAAGGAGCAGAATCGAGAGCTAAGAGGTACCCAGAGAGCTATTACCAGAGACAGAGCAGCACTTGAAAAACAGGAAAAACAACTGGTGAGTAGAACAGAGAACAACAAAACCTTCCAATATTATAGAAAACTTGCAAAGTTTACTGAGGTTTGACTCAATGTATCCTGAAAAGATTTTCTCCACATTTAGTATCTCAGTTATTAAAATGGTGCATATCAGTAAGTGTTGGAAAAAAATTACCATCTAAAAGACATTTTTCAATCTTTAATCTAATAAAAGTCAGAATTAGTTCTTTAATCAAAAAGCATGACATTCTTTTTCTTCCCTATCCTTAGTATTTCCTATTCCCTATCCTTCAAGTGGTTATTTTGTTTCAAATAAATTTTCCACTACTGGACCACTCATTTATAAGCCTTATGGAAATGCTCAGTGCTTTTATATGCTATCAAGATTCTTCAATGGAGGAAAGTACTTGAAACTCCACAGGGATAACAAGAACCCAGTTGTGGTTGTCCTTTTCATTTTTGTAGGGCTTTCCTTTAACTGTCTGCCTAAATTAGGATTTGATGTAGAACTTTGTGTATCTGAGCTCTCAAGTATTTGGTGAACGGATGTCACACCAGTGCGACAGTGTAACTGGGTAATTTGCTGTGGCAGATGGTATGTTTTGATGTATGAAGACATGCTCAGRCTGTGGGAATAGCTATGCAAATCCAGTCACTGTTTCACGTGCTACTAATGTGGTGTTCGGTGGCAGCAGGTCACATGAATAGCAGGATTTGGGAATTTAGATTAAAAAAGCCTCGGGGATTAGTTATTTATTTAAGCCTTGGACATAGAAGATGTAATAGGTTACTAGTAGGTAAGGCATTTTTTCAGAATGATATATTCTGACTCTGGGAAGACCTTAATTTTCTTGAAGATTCTCCTTGAAGTTCAGATTATTTATGACAGGAAATTGTTTCAGATATTCTGGCCTTTTTTTTTTTTTTTTTTTTTTTTTTTTTTGGTAGAAATGAGGACAAAGACCATAGAGAGAAATACATCTTTGTAGAAGTTAAAATCCACTGTTTGGGAAGGGAGAACCAATGGGCAACAAACACAATTTTTCAAAAGCAGTTTAGGTGACAAAGGACAGAAAGCTTGCCAGCCGATTTTAAACATTTTGTTGTGTTCTTTCCATGGAAAGAACATCTTTCTTAAACAGGAGATACTACTGCAAGAGAACTTTGCTATATTTATCATAGATGTAGAAATACCTTACTAAATTGTACAGTCAGTTCTGTTTCAGTTCAGTTACCTCACGTGACTTGTGAATTTTGATATTTTTTTTTCCCAGAATGTAACTGCCTTGAATAGGCTTGCACAAAACCTCCAAGAAGGAAATAATATATGGTGGCTCACTATCCAAATTCTTCTTAATTACAAATAAAATCAGCTATATATAGGCGTTTAATTCCTGTGCTACAGTTGTCCGCAATGGTTGATGTTGGTTTGTATTTCACTTTCAGGTTAGGGTTATAAATACTAATTAGATGTTTCGTCTTACTAACAAAATCACTGTTTTCTAGTGTTAGACTCTTAAAATTATAGTATGCAAACAAATCCTTCCCATCTTTCACAATATTTGAGCTATTKAAAATTATATTTTGGCATGCTATAGAGATTTGTTTTTGTGGTCTCTGAGCTAGCTACAAGCTTTGCATATATTTCAAGGCTATAATATTTGAATAATGTCACACTCCTTGCTTGCTGAGTTGTACTTCCTTAGGTTAAAAGTCATATTTATGTCGTATCCCTTCAGAAATTATGAACTGTTGGAAAAGATCTTATGCCAGTGCAATCTCTCTAGTAAACTTAATCATGATCTTTCATAGTAGTAAAGCTAACACATTTCTCTTAAGAGTGGATGCCATGTATATTCTGGTCACCAGCACTTGCCTTTTCTGAGCAACATACTTACTTCATAGCATGGCTTTCTGGACTACCAGTGCAGGTGAAGAAAACTAAGTGTTTGTGTTCTTGTATTAAGTATATTCCCCTCAAGAAATACAATGCTGYTATTATAAATTCTTTTTGCTTAATGGCAAAATCAAGTGCATGATTAGCCATATATGAAGTGTGTTAGTATGATAAGCTGCCCTTTAAAAGGTTGAAAATGAAAAATGGTTAAGAAAGTTTATGTTATGAAGTTGCAGATCAAAATGCATATTCTGAAAAATCCCAGTTAGCAGAACTGTTTGTTTCAAACTTTGCCATGGTATCTCCAGGGAAAATAGCTTACTATTTCTCCCCGTATCGATAAATAAGTCTCCTTTTTTTGCGAGCAGACAGTGTCCTCGGCTTAAGGTTTAAGGTGCACAGTAGGAGCGTCTTGTTTCAGAAAAATTTCACTGCTTAAATGATTTAATAGAGTAAAGCTGATGAATGCAAAAATCTAAGTGTAAGCAGTTAGCTGCCCTTAATAGTTTTTCTATTTTTTTGAAATGTTATTCTATATCTAGATGTGGAATTGAATGTTCACACACGTTCATGTATAACTTCACATGTGTAACTTGAAAAACTTGCAGAACAGCCTTTTGGGGAATTTCTTATTTTCAGGAAGTTTTTTTCCCTCTCCTGGTGAGAGCAGAACAACATTGTATTTATTAATCTCCTTTATAGAGACCCCTGCTAGGAAAGCCAGGAAGAGTGCTCATATCACTTCACAGGTGTGTCTCGAAAAATAAGAGGCTAGTTAATTTCCAGAATTTTATTAGACTGAGTGCTACAGCTTATATATGAATGCATGAATTTGTATGAATGAAAAATCTGTGGTATTAATCTTTTTTTTTTTTTCTTAATAGGAGCTAGAAATAAAGAAAATGGCTAAGACTGGTAACAAAGAAGCCTGTAAAGTTCTAGCAAAACAACTTGTGCAGCTTCGAAAGCAGAAAAATCGAACATATGCTGTTAGCTCTAAAGTTACCTCTATGTCAACCCAAACAAAGGTGATGAACTCTCAGATGAAGATGGCAGGAGCTATGTCAACCACAGCAAAAGTAAGCTGTTACAAGATAAAATAACCTTAAGTTGCTTTCTAAGATAAATTATGCTTGCAAAACTGAATTGTTTTGTGTAAGATCACCAAAGGGTTCAAATTAGCTTAATACTGTAATTGACAATGAGGATACAGTAGGAAAGTGTGATTTGATTCATATAGGAAACTTTGATCTAGTCAGTCCTGCCTTTTAGCACTTAGTTCAGCATRCTGTATTGGGTTAGAAATCTTGTGAAATGCTTGCAAAATAAAAGTGTAATGCCAGTTGAAGAACTTTTTTTAGTAGACAAAGGAGAAAAAAAAGGGATTTGCTTACATAATTTCGCATGTCACAAGCCAATTGTTGGAAAAAAAAAATAAGAGTATGCTTCCTGCAGCAATCAGGGCAGTGTGTCACTGTAGCTTTCTATGTTTCATGAAAGGTAAGTCAGTGGTTAGCAGCTTGTATTTCTAAAAGAATTAGTCAGGAATTCCCTGTCATTCTCACTGTCTGTGATCTAAGGAAAGAGTATTGCCTTTCTTTCTTACAAATCTCAAATCATAAAAAAGATTCCAGAAAATATCAGGTAATTGTGAACTTCCCTGAACTGGTAAGCAGGGAGTTTACTTTTAGCAAAATGGATTGTTCAGCTCCAGGTTTAGAGCACAGAATTAACACCCATTTTAGGCAAGTTCTGCTTTTATCACAGTCTAAGCTACACTCAGTTATGCACCAAATATGTCTAACATAAAATAAAGCAGAAAGTAATTACTACTAGAACTTAATCAGGTTTCTTTTAAGAGCTCTGCAGCAAACTTTCTGTCTTCCAGAATTAACCCACAAAGAGGTGGATTAAATATCTTAAAACCAAACTGTCACAAACTAATCACAGAGAAAAAGTAGGTAAAATATTAAACAGACATTAAACCAGAATTCAGAAGAGAGGTGCTTTCTGATCACAGCAGGTACTCACATGGACTATTTTGACGAATGTTTATCGGAGAGAATCACAGAATGGTTGAGCTTGGAAGGTACCTCTAGAGATCATCTAAATTCCCTAGAGCACAGGGCAGCATCCAGGTGGGTTTGAAGACCTCTGGAGAAGGAGACTCCACAACYTCTCTTGGCAGCCTGTGCCAGGGCGCTATCACCCTCACAGGAAAGAAGTTCCTCCTCCTGAAACACAGGAACTCCTGTGTTTCAACTTATACCCATCGCCCCTTGTCCTGTCACTGGCTACCACTGAGAAGAGCTTGGCCCCTTCCTTGGCCCCTACCTACATTCCCTCTTCAGGTACTTAAACATATTCAGAAGAGAAGAGAGAGACAGGAATTAGATTATTTTGGTCAATGTTAAAGTAAACATTTTTCTCTTTCAAGAAAGAAAGTTTGGAAAATAATTAAAAACATCTTCAGTTGTTAATTCTGAAGCTTAAAAATTGTTCTGTCTCATACACCCATTTTTGAAAAAATAAATGCAATCAATGCCTCCAGAGACRGGACAAATACATGAATGTTAAGCTTTCAAGATTCTATCTGTGTACAATGCATTAGCATGTCTGGCATTAATTTTACACATAGTAAAAACACAGTAGATGGTCTCCTGGCTTACCTTTACAGCTTTCCTTTATTTTTTCAGGATACATAAATTCTTATTCAGTTTAGTGCATTCTTTTTTTGAGATCCATCTATAATTTTAGTAAAAGAATTTCAAAACAGTAATGTAAGCAAKATTTTTTTTTCCAATTCAAATAATGTGAATATGAATACAATTCTTCTAATTCAAGTAATAATAGAAGCTTGATACATTATGAATTTAAACTCAGAAATGAAGGCAGAAGTCCTTCTCCCATGCTTCTCGAAAGTCAGCAGTGGCTACACAAGCTTGATAGCCTCCCTTTTTGATGAACCAATTCTTACATCTTCACAAAGATGATTGGACTTTCTATTTAAATTGCTCATGTTTATGTTCGGTTTTTGGCATGCCATGAGAGAGAGAGTAGCTTGCTCTTTGGGACAGGAGRAGGAAGTATTAAATACTAGTGGCTGCAAAGGCAATCATGCATACTCATGCTAAAACTGAAGTTTATTAGGACTGTGGCAGAAGTATCTCTATCTGGTACAAATGTTGACCCTAAGTCAGTAGGTACTTTCAGAACACCTTGATGCTTATTTTTTCAGAGAAAATTCCTTTTTTTCTTCCCATGAAATTACAGCATGAAGAAATGATAGGAATTTAATGGGTGTCCTTTAGAGGTGTTTGAAATAAATGTTCCTGAGTGAAGAAAACCTGCAGCCCTTTATGTTTTTAAAATATGTAGTTTACAAGTTAGGAAATCCTGTCCCATTCCTTTTATTAGAATTGGGCAGCTTTTCCCTCATAAAAGGGCAGGAAAAAAGGAGCAGTGCAGGAAGGATGCATATATTTAAAAGCATACCTATTAATGTAGTAAATGGCAGTATCTCTTAATAGGTGTTGACTGTACTTATTCATTCTTTGTGTATCTGCAGCTTTCACAGAATGTAAGAGGGCGAGGAAGGCCAAACTCGGTCTGCAGTTTTTCTTTGTTAGAAAAGTTAAATCTTTCTGTGTGCATACGTTGGCCCTTACTAATGTCTCATTGTATGATTAATATATTTTTTGTATTGTTAGACAATGCAAGCAGTTAACAAGAAGATGGACCCACAGAAGACGCTGCAAACCATGCAGAATTTCCAGAAGGAGAATATGAAGATGGAAATGACCGAAGAAATGAGTAAGTTCTGCATTGTAATGAACAGCTAATTTCAGGTCACAGCGATTTGAAGGGTTAGAACCAGGCTAGAAATAATGCTGTGATTACAGTTAAAATTAATGAGATTATTGATAGTAAGTGAAGAGCAATCAAAACAATGTGTGTCTGTGGAAGGATGGTGCCTTAGGCTTTCTAGTAGCCTTAGATCCACTCCCACCCATCAACATGCAAAATACCCGTCATACATCTAGAAGGAACCTGCTGGAAGGAGAGGGCTCGACACTGATTCAAAACATCAGCACAACTAATAGGGAGACTTGACAAATTAACTTTAATTTAGAGATTACTGGTCATTTCAGCTTTGTGAATATGGCATTAGGGGGATCTCTCTCTCTCTCTCTCTCTCTCTCTCTCTCTCTCTCTCTCTCTCTCTCTCTCTCTCTCACCCCCCCAATATCAATATATATCGATATATGTCTCTACTTTTTAAATGTAAACCACAAAGTGTTTTTTTTTTCCCTGGAGGACAAGGAGAAGGTATTACCTGGGATTTTTTTGTGTGTGCTTTTGTTGTTGTTACAGTCAACTGAGATGCAGTCAACTGCATCTGTTGACGAAGTCATGCAGAACCTCTTGGTGCAGTTGGCCTYCCCAGCCCTGACACTGTGTTGGTCCTAGTAGTTCCAAAACAGTATTTTTGAGCAAGACATGAACAACTCAACAACTCAATTCAGCAGCAATTACAACTCTTTTGTAATTCAGAAATTAGTTGAGTAATGAACCATTTTAACTCCTCTGGAGGAGGAGGAAATGGATTTTTTTTTTTTTACTTTTTTTTTTAAAGTTAAATCAAGAGGAAAGATGGAACAACTGAATAACTTTGATAAAACCAACCATTTTATAAAAGCAGTCAGGCCCTCCTCCATTATTCCCCTAGCAATGTTCACAGGCTTTGCAAAGCAGAAATGAGAAGATGTACAGGTTCTTTGTCTTATTCAGTGGTATTATTGCTGTACTCAGAAGAAAGAGGGTATCAGTTATCTTTGTAATCTATTCTGGCATAATGCTTTTTTTTTCTTCCTCCAAGTTAATGATACTCTGGATGATATTTTTGATGCGTCAGATGAAGAGGAAGAAAGCCAGGATATTGTTAACCAAGTACTTGATGAGATTGGAATTGAAATCTCTGGAAAGGTAAGAGGACTCTTCCACTCAGTAGCTCTTCATTGTTTTTCTTTGTTTTTAAGAGTTTATTGTAGGAGTCTTTATTTTAAAGTCTTGCTGTATGAGTCAGCTGTCACAACTCAAACTCCTTTGACTAAAGAAAACTTTTGTTGTCTTCTAGATGGCCAAAGCTCCATCAGCTTCCAGAAGCTTACCATCTGCATCCACATCAACAGCTGCTACTATTTCAGATGAAGAGATCGAACGGCAGCTCAAGGCTTTGGGAGTGGATTAGTTTGGCCTTGTGTGGTCTGCCTTCTTGCTCAGCTGCAGACTGTCAAAGTGCAAATATTCCTTCAATGCAACTGAAGCCCAGGAAAACTCTGAAGCTTCAGAAGTGACAACTTGAAGTTGGGGAGGGAGGAGAATACTTTGAATCAATTGACAGGGAGAACTACATTTCTTGTGTCCACTGTGTGCAGTCTTTTTAAGCACTTGGCCAAATAGGGATCTAGTTCTAATGATGCATCATTTAAGTGATCTGAGTGTGACCTCTGAGTTCAAGGTTTTCTTCTAATCTCAGTTCTACATATTTCTTTAGAATTGGCTGTTCTGCCAATTGGTGATGATGTCTCCTAGGACAGCACCTATATAAAATATATTATTATAAAAACAGCGCTAGAAAAATTTAGTCTGCCATCTTAATGTAAAAGAAACACTACCTTTGCTTTTAGTTGAAAAATATTTTATTTTGATGAGAAATATCCTTGAAGGTCTAATAAATTTTGGCAAAAAGGAAAAGCATTTTACATTGTTCTTTAACGTCTCTGTAGTATATTTGAATTGATTAAGTAATAGCTGATTGTTCCATTTACCGAAGGGCAAGGATATAGTTCCTTGTGCAGATAATTTTACTGGAAAAGGATTCAATTTGTTAGTGAACTTTGTTGCATGAAAGGCACTGACTGAATCTTATTGTACTGTAACATAGCTAGATTCAACAGAATTGCTGTGCCTTTTTGTATATAAATCTTGTACCCTTGTGACTTTTTTTCAGAAAGAGTCTTTGAAAGGTGGGTAAACTATGAAGAAGATACAAATCACTGAGATCTCTGTGTACGCTTGAAAGGACTCAGAACGCAAGTTCAAAAATGCACTTGTTCAGAAATGCCATTTGCATACTTGCAAAAAGGACATTTGCCTGAAGCAACATTTGTATATATATCTTACAGTATTTCTTAATGAGAAATAACTGTCCACGATTGTATTATTTACTAAGATGCAGTTGATCACATTGATAAGTTATATCTAAATTTTTGTCATGAGAACAACTTTTGATGATACATGATAATTGCTTGTCAAAGCACTATAATAAAACTATTCTGGTTCTGTGAGGGTTTTTCTATTGTTTCTGAACAGTCTTGGCATGACATTAGCTTTAAGTGGAATACATCTGGCTAAAGAAACTATTGATATTCTAAATAAATGATAAAGTCTGACAATGCAGTTCCCAGTTTCAATGTTGTGAATGGTGTAAAGCTCTATGGCCCTCACTTGCACTAATTTAGCGGGGCCACCCCTTGAAGTATAACAACGCAATCAACCAGGCTTTAAGAGAAAAGCAGAATACCTTCCAAAGTGGAACCAGGGTAACTGGGAGCTACAAACTCTTTGAAGAGACTTCATTGCTAGAAAAAGTGTAGCAGAAATCTATAACCTCTCTTAATCTACTGTCATCACACCATCTGCTTTTTATGATTGAAGTCAGCAGGAGAAAAAAGGGAAAAAAAAAGATGAAAAGATGAACCTTTGGTTTTCGACATAGAAATACAGGTGCTCTTTCTCCTTGGAGGAAGTAAGGGACAAACTATGAATCTGTGAGGCAGTGGGTAGGAATGTGTAACCTTATATATTGCGTACATCTGGTATGACTTTTTTAAAAAAAAACTTTTGTAAAAATCTAATAAAAGTCTTTTTATTCTACAATGACTCTGTCCTCTGTAGGGTTAGTCTTGCACATCATCTTTCTTTGCACTTGTATTAGGTATGACATGTGTCCCGAAGGTGACTTTGTAGCTTCCACAAGAATTTTGATCTAATTACCACTTTTGTTTGTGGTAGTCCTTAAGATAATTCTGTTTCTCAGGCACTAGAGCTATGAGAGTTGAATCTTTGTACCAGCTCTGTGCTCTTCCTCAGTATTTCTTCTTTCTTTGCCTTAGGCAATGTTAAAATACAATCTTAAAGCAGCAAAAAAAAAAAAAAAAAGCTCATCAGGATTTTGGGGATCGAATCTAGAATCCTAATCATCATCCTGGTTGRTTATTTTGTTTGTTTAGCTTGAGCTGTGGAGCGACGTAATATTTATTGAAGTTGCCTGTGGCTTGAATTTAATGTTCAGCCAAGACTTTGTGATCAAGTTTGCCATCTCCTTTTACCTCTGACCGAGTGACTAGGTACTGCTGGTAGGCATTGAACAAGAAATCATAATCTGAAGGTAGGCACACAACGTTACTGATTTTATTTTAGTGGAGCACCAAGTTTTGTGATCCTCTTTTAGTCAAGTGTGCACTTCGTTTTTTCCTTTAACCACATTGACACCTTAACAGCAGCCAAATGTGGAACTGTTCCATCCAAGAGCAATGTGATTGTTAATCACGGAATCATTATGGTTGGAAAAGATCTTCACCAGTAAGTCCAACTATAATATGCCTAAAAGTGGCTGGCACTGGAATGGACCACAGTCTAGATCAACCAAAACTCTGCTCCATAAACATGCTCAGGGAAAGAGGAGAACAAGATAAGCACAAGATAATTCTTCCCCTATTATCTCTTCCAGCCTCTACTTTCTATTTAGGGGATTTCCAGAGCCAGATATAGTTTCTGCCTATACAATGACTTTGAATGGCTTCCTCATCTGTGAAGTTGTAGATGTAAGTAACTTTTGAAACTCCTATTTTCTGGCAGAGGAGTTCCACAGTTTTTTTTCTTGTTGTTTTCTCAAGCTTTCTTCACAAATTAACTCCTCGCTTTTCCAGTAGGCAAGACAGTGAAATTGTAGTGAAAGTCTGGATACAGGCACAACTCAYTTAGGAGACCTCTATAATGTTTCCTGCACACACCTTTTAGTCTGGAAGAGATGCAGAGTCATGAGTTGTTCCTCTTGCCTTCACCATCCTCTTTGCCTTTATTGGGACCTTCTCCAAAGTCTGTTGTATCCTTGTCATGGAGAGGGGGTCAGAACTCCACACAGCACRCGGGAGGCAGTTGAAGCCACAGATGAATACGTTGGCACAACRTCTTTGACATTGTCCTCTATCTGCTTCTAACTCACTGCCTAAAGTTAACCATGGGAAAAGTAAGATCAAGAAGAAACACACRTCTTCAAGACGAACAGTGTGGCCTGTATTAGTCAGATGTTAAATGGCCACCTCCGCCATCTTACTGCCAAGTTTACCAGTCAGCCCCTCAATGGTTATTCATGGTTTCTTCTCTCAATCAAGAATAAGTGGCTGCTGTAATCCACTGAAAAAAAGTTAAAAGTTGTCCCTAGAGAAGAACCGGAATTACCACTTTCTGTTAAGTCTGAAGGCTGCAGCTGCAACACATTAAATTGATTGCATCCAGCTTTCCCCTCCCCCCACCAAAAAAATCAACTCTGAATTTCCATGGAAACAGCTAAACATGTTCATGTGGTGGCCTCTCCCTCCACTTAGCCTTTTGTCATTCTTTTACAATTGTACAGCATATTATAAGACATTTTCAATTTTATTTTGATATGCTTCTGAAATTAACCATCACACGTGCAACCCAACCTTTTTGGAGTAATGGAAATCACAATTTTACTGTAAGTCTGCCCTTGCATTAACTATTGTAACGTGCTAGAATGAATCAGCAAAATATGCAACTAAATAACTTGCCAAAACTGCAAACCACTGCTTGGAAAACCATATGCATAGGAATACTTTATKTGGGGGAACAAGGAAAAGGATGGGCCCACAGTATTTTTAAGAAGACATTTTTAATCAACAAAATAACTTAGAATATAAATAAAATGCATATATGACAGTGGTTTTGACATACGCAACACTAGATTACATAGGATAAGGTACACAGAGGCATGTCACTATTCACTGAATGCCAGTCTTTCAAACTGTATTTATCTTTCATCCTTCTAAAAAGTTCATTATCTGCCAATACAGCATGTCTGGTTAAGTCTAATGCTTAGTTTTACTCTGCTGTAACAAGCTATACTAGTGAGGAGAACAGTTGAAGAGAGCATATAGCATAATTTCTCCCCTTTGAATTATTAAATTTAAGAATTCTTCTAAATTAAAGGGCTATAACAATGCAACTCAGTCATAAAAATGTGTTTTCTTAATCCAGGAACCTAGTTTCCACAGCTGAATATGCTTGTGGTTGCTGTAATAGCTATCAAGAGATAATTTAASGTACACTAGAGTGAGAACGCTTAACTTGCACACACTGTTTCAAGCAATCTTGAACAAAACACTGCTTTGCTTTCTATGGGCCTATTATCTAAACATTTTTTAAATCATCAGGTCTGCTTTATGTAAAAATAAAATTTATCTGGTGATTATCACTTCTATGTACTCTCTTAATTTCAGTCCTGGGAAAACAGTCTAAAATACATATATGGTAATAGAATATTTTAATAACAATGAGCAGGGCTAATGAAAGGATTTGGTAATCTATCCCTGGTGGGTACTAAAATCATTAATCTAATTCCTTGATGTCTGTCCTCCTGATAGGTGGAGCTCTGGCATTTTTTTTTCCCTCTAGGCTAGCAGGGGGGAAATAAGGGATTATCTTCTCATATGGTAGAGTGTAAGACAGTGGGAGTTCACAGTGCAAAGTGTTCTTTGTGTGGGTACTTAGTTTGGAGAACAAGGGCCTTCTTTTCTGTAGCTTCATGCACTCTATCTTTGGTACAAGTGTGTCCGCACATGGATTTAATCGGGAAAAATACAGCACAGAGAGAGACCTAAGTATTGAAAACCCTGAAAATCCCTAGTTTTTTTTTTTTTTTTTTTCCCCTCAGACCACTGAGTTTTAGACAAGCAAGGTAAATTGTATCCTATTTTTATAGCTAACATTTATAAATTCTCTAGCCATATCAAACCTTAAGACATACGATAAATTAAGAACAGTTATCTTTGACAGCTAGAATAGAAGGAATGTCACTTCTACTTGGCAGTCAAGGGGTACACTGAGACATAGCATGCATTAGGAAGTGTGTTGACACCTTAGTGGTGGTAAGCTTATTTTACTCTATGACAGCAATTTGGCACATCTCCAAAGTCTCCATCCTGAACGTGAACAAAGTTACCTAAAATGCTTTTCTCAGATTTAGACATTTGTTTCAAGTTGGAAGCTCTCCATTCTTTAGAAAGACCTTGGTTGCATTACTCTCCCTGCTTTCTCCTGGGTCTCTGGGATCTAGAGATGGCATTCCGACAAGATCCCATGAGTAGATTCCATTCTTGACCATAACTAGGCTGTCAGCAATGTTACCACTTAAAGTTTAATGTTACTCATCCATCTTCTTGGATTTCTCCAAGTTCTGATTTCTCACCAACGTTCAATTTAGTGATCTCGGAGTTGGATGCTAGAAATGGGATCCTGCAATGTGCCTAATGGCTTACAGTCTTTCAAAAGCTAGATTGTTTGTATGGGGTGGGAGGAGTATAGCGCATATATGAGCATGCRGAGTCCAAATTCTCTCAATATTATAGCCACTGTTATCAACCTTGGGAGTCTTTTTTCATATATAAATCAAACGGTTTGCTTCCTGATGGTTACATAAACTACTTGGAATTTTCCATTAATTATTAACACGTTACCACACTACTTTCAAATGAGTAATGCATAATAAGTTCCTTGCAGTGAAGCAATGACCTCCAGTTCTTTAAATATATGGAGTAGCATTTGTTTCCAACTTTTAGCAATAAAATTAAGCTTTCACATCATACTGTATCTGAATCAACTCAATCTGAATCTAAAACAAGTGGTTTACTGATTTTTTTTTGTTTTTAAGGCAACAAAGTATTTAAAAAATATAAAAAACAGCAAAATAGAAATCCACAATTAAGCATGAGAAAGTTTTACCGGCATTCATGATGTTCCTTGATAATAGCACTAAAGGTATTCTGATGTAAACTTGTCTTCACTCTTTTTTCCCTTTGTCTTCTGTTGCAAAACCACACTCTCACAACTTCTTTCTCAAGATTGAGCCCCTCAGCCATCCTCATAATTTCCTGAGAAGAAGGCTTACTCTGTTCTCCGAAGTGCCTCTCTAGGGCTTCTTTGGCAGCAATGCTGGAGGAAGGAATAAAATTTCATCTTTAAAATCCTTTCTGACACATTTCAGGAGAAGGGTCAAGTATGAGCATTGGGGTTAATGATTATTTCCTCTCTTGCTAAACAAATGAAAACTCATCAAGTTTGAAGTATATTACAGAGTGGGTTTTTTGTTTTTTTTTTTTGGTGATACAGCAGTTTAATATCATRTAGAGTTTCTGTATAGAGTAACTTAAAGGGAAAGATGCTATAAACTTAAGTGTTGTTTTAGTAAGAATCATGCCTCTTGGCTTGTGTTTCATGATGTTCTCTTGGAGCAAATGTGAATGTGAAGACATGAATTGGAACAAGTCTGGACACACATTATACCTCAGTCACAGTTTTGCTGTAGGAGTTCAATAAACTCATATTATTAGGGTGATTAGCCTGTGTATGAACTAGAGGAACTTCTTAGTTGTTGTGCTAACAGGCAGCTCGGATCCTGTCTGGTTGAAGGAAGTGGTACACACTGGCACACATGCACATATATGCATACTGCTAATCAGCATAAGGTAAAAGAGGAAAATTGACCTGACTTGCTATCCTTGGCAAGTGGAGAATGTGCACCTAACCAGCTTTTCTTACAGCTTTATAGTAAAACTGGATTGCCCTGATTTGAAGGAAAAGCACTGGAACTGGCTGCCCAGGGAGTCTCCTTCTCTGGAGGTCTTCAAAACCCACCTGGATGCCCCTGCTCTGGGTGTCCCTGCTGGAGCAGGGGGGTTGGACTAGGTGAGCTCTAGGGGTCCCTTCCAACCTCAATCAGTCTGTGATTCTGCGATGCTGTGTGTTTATAAACAAGAAGAGCTCTATCAGTTATTGCATGAGAAATACAGCATTTTTCTTGGGTTCTTCATCTCACTTTGGTATGGATAGGGCATTGCACTATTTCTATCACAGGGATTATAGCAATCCATTTTATCAATAAGTACATTTTCTAAAGATCTGTCCTGACCTATATAATCCTCACCATCAGCAGTGGTCAAAATTGAATGGTTTACTAAACTGATCAAGTTAGACTTTCTTTACTATCACATTGATTTTTTTTGCCTGTGTTACATATTCTCAGAAAACAAAGAGTATCTGCAATATGCTGCTGTGCAAACCACAGAATGCAGCTTCATTAATAGCTGTTATTTCTTTGGACACAAGAGGGCACTTTCTGCATGATTCTGAAGATGAGGTGCGGGTATTATAAAAATATACCATTATAAAAATATACAAACAATCTGCCGGAGTTCTAGTTATTTTGTCATTTCATCTGCAATATATTCTTTTTTTTTATTTATTGGTTTATTTTATAATACTTGGTAAAATTAGCAAAGCTAGTTAAGAGTATGATATCCTGCATACAGAGATACAGACTCATCATCATTTTTAATTTCCTTTTTTGTTTGTTTTTTGATAAAAGTAGAAAAAAAGTTTCTGAACATTCAAATTAATGAGATTTTTCTCAGGGTATGACTAACCTAATTTAGTTAGTCGGACTTCTGTTATATTTCTTGTTTTCTTTCAAATATCCACTGGAAGTAGCTAACAGTAAGGCTGTAGTTCAGATTAATGACAGCAAAGAAGATCAACTCTCTTCTGACACCAAACTGAAGCCTTGCAAGAAATATTTAGGATTTTCTTACTGTATCTGCAATGGTCCTGAACTGCGCTCCATAGTCAATGCCAGGGTCATCTTGATGCTATTAAATATTCCCAGTGCAATGTTGTTAGGTGATAAAGTAGGAATAATTAGAAAATGCTTAACATGAGGACTGATTTCCTCAGTAGTTTGTTGAAAAGTTTGTTGACAAACTCCTCAGAACCTACAGACTTGAAGACCATCAGCTTCCAGTGGGCTCCTTTTGCCAAGGAAAAGCACTTAAAGAACTCTAAGCTCAGACCTCTTATCCAGGTCATACTAAACAAACTAGGTGAGAGCTTGGCACTGTTCCTCTAAGATAAATACCACAGCATCTGGAGATTCTGCTGGTGAATTCCTTCAGTAAAGATAAGAATCTGAGTGCTAAAAGGAGAATGGAATACCACATTATTGTTTTCATCACRTTCTCTTTCTGCTTATTTGGTAGCTGCTTTTGTAATATAATTTGTCAACCTACTTAATTTCTTCATGGAGTTGAGCCTAAACCTGGTAGATGCTGGCCATCAGAGATGCAGAAAAAAATGTTTCTATAACAGTTTCCTTCTTTCCATTTATCTCAAGAAAGTGCTTCTTCAGAAATTTGGAGGAGTCAAATGACAGATAGGGATGGGGTACATAACAAGCTTTTCCTCAAACTTTCCAGACCCCGATTTTATGTCAGAATAGCTCAGTTTCACCTGGTACAATGCAAAATTTCTGCAAAATGAAGACAAGAGTGCTCTGATATACTATTCACTACATAAACAACATAAAGACGTGGCAGAATTGATAGAGTTAGAATATTTTTCACCATAAAATATGATGTCCTATATTGAAGAGAAGTCTTCAATTGGAAAATGTAGTGTATGTATTTTGAAGAAGCTTTTTGCAGGGGGAGGGGGTTAATTTATTTGTTTATTTGTTTTCACTGGAATATTTCAAATTATTTGTTTCTCCAAATTTGCTAAAAAATGACATTTGTATTAAAAGCCAGGAAAAAGAAGAATCTTAACCAAAGGAATTTCTAACATATAGCACTCTAAATATTTGTTACCTTATGGTTGTTCTGCGCTTTCTCTTCCGCTCGTTCACTCCAACTTTTTCATTGTATAAAGCTGTATTAAAAACAAAACAAAATAATAGCAATAAACAAAACAGGCAGCTACCTTCTGCAGAGAATGCAAGCAAAGCGCAGTTATCATTAAAAAAAGATGTCTCTGTTTTAAGACAGAAGAAAGTGCAATAGATACTGCTGCCAAGTAAAAAAGGCACCACACACAGTAGCACTAAATCTTAATTCTTTAGGATGCCACATGGCTGTTGTAACTCCAGGTAAAAACGATTATGAGGAAAAAAGGTGTACCACAGGTAAAGCTGCAAGTATCAATAGGTTTGCACTCATATGCCTACGTACCTAAACAGCCCTTTCTCTTACCCCCATTTCCTTCCTCCTTCCCTGAGGGATAGGTGTGAGGAATACGGAATCCTTTTCCATTCCCATCAATTACCTCACCCTCTTACATGGGAAGTTCAGCCTTGGCTTCCAGTCCTATCTGCCTTTCCACGCCATTCTTGGATGGATATATGAACCTCACCCTCTACCCTTCAGTTTTTGGAAGTTGCTRTCTTCCCTGCTGCTCAAGCATGAACCTGCGCCTGCGTGGTCAGCAGCTGACACCCACTGCAACCGCCTTCTAGATGATTCTTACACTGCAATGACCAGATTGGTTTGCACTRCACTTATAGTGGAGAGAAATTTTCCACATTTATCTCAAAGCAATCTCAAGCATATGGAAGAAGAGCTAGTTAACAACATTTCCTGTAGTTGAAAATCATGGCACATCCAAAAAACTGCTTTAAGGTAATGTCCCTTCCTATGATAGCTGAACACCTCGCAGTTGTAGCTTTCACTGTCACCTCTGGGCATACTGCTTCCCCCATCATAGTTCACGTAGCTGAAAGGGCTGTAGTTTAAAACAGCCCATTTCCTTTAAATCAGAAACCTTTCTTCTAAACTACACTTGCCCAGTGAACTCCAGGGCTCTTCATGGAACTGGGAATTAAGTGGACATAGAAAGGGAAATCCTCCAGGGGCAAAAGGTCACATCCAAATCCTCTCTGCCGTACTATTCTTTGTCAGAGGCTTAGAGAGCATCACTTCAAGTTGAGTTCAAATCCCTTCYTGTGGCCATATCACATAGCCCAAGGGACTGGAGCAAAGAGTCCTTGGCTAGTGAAGAATCTCAGCACTCTGTTAAATGTAGATCCTAAAGAAATGTAGCTGTGTTCCAACAACGGAACTGGTTTGCTAGAATGGGTCCGAAGGGAACGAGAACCATGCAATTTTGTATCCTCCGTGCATTGCAGGTTGTTTACTCCTCCTTGCTCACCCTAAAACATACCATAACTTAATATACGCTATTGGCACACCTCTAATTTAAAGTTGGTAACAGAAAAGTCTTTGCCTTTGGAAGGCCTTCAACATATTCTWCCTTCAACATATGTAGAGGATTCAAGTGTAAATACAAATCAATTTTAAGAGGCTTTCAGATCTCTACCTCCTACTTGTTCTGCTTCCTCCAGCCACTTGGACAGGATTGATTTCAGTTTGCATGCATTCTTGAAACTCAGCTGCAAGTTTTCAAATCGGCAAATTGTAGTTTGGCTAAATTCAGAGCCATGTACAGCAGCTAGTGCTTCTCCAACATTAGTTTGTGTATAGCCTGTCAAAAATGAAGAGGAAAAAGTCACTTTGCAGCTTCCTACTCTGGGTTGCTTTCCTTAAGACACTTATCCCTTCATCCTTAACTCTTAAAATCAGTACATATTGTAGCATCAAGGATCACCTTTCCGCAAAGGTCTCTGTGGCTGATTTTGAACTCACTTCAGTGCTACCTTGAGTCATTCTGTTGACTTGGGTGTGTTTCATAGGCTCTGAGATTAAGGGTTTCAGAAGTATCCAGACCCCATATTTTCACTAATATATGTGATGTGATGGCAATATTCTAAATCCCCCCTGCATCTCTGGTCTCATGTTATTTGTTGTGATGAGTAAGATGARGTGATAAGGAAACTGCTGCAGCTTACTTGAGGATATTGAATTCTTAAGGAGCAGTTCCCCAGTCAGTGAATTGAATATATCTCTGCTGTATTTATGAATTTGGCCTTTTTTTCCTCTGTATCAGAATAGACAAAGCCTCTCTGGACAGTGAATGTCTCCATGAGCTGGCTATTTACCTAAATTTCAATTGCACTGGCTCTGTATCTCACAGACTCATGCTCATAGCACACATTAAGTCTGTCCTCTCCTAAAGCGCAATCTCCAATTGGTTTTGCTGAGACAATTTTATTTTTCTCTATCAGAGCATTGGACCCAGTGTTACAGTCTCCGAGCCATTTGTTTACTTTGGAGGAAGTTTTGCTCCCACTCAAACTGAGTGGGATCAAGATGCTGTAATAATCACAGTGATTCATATYTTGTCTTAGCAAATCATTCCAATGGTCATGATATACAGCAAAATGCTCACACTACAAATACTATTTTGAACTGTACACTTCTGTTATCAATCTTACTTTTACCCTGCAAATAGAACATATCAGCTTCCTAGTTGTCAAGGTAATGCACAGGTACCTCTAAAAACTGTATATTTTTTCTACATTTATAAAACTTCATTTTGTAGGATACCTTATTTTTTAACAATGCAACGTAATGCTGTAACATATAATGTTAAAATTACAACTCAAAGTACCACATTTTCATAAAAGGTCTGAATATGCAGTACCCTATGGCATTTTTTTCAATATAGTTCAATCTGCTCAAGGATGAGCAGACTTTTGGTTTGCAATGCACTTCAGCCTTTCTCTGGGAGGGAGAAAGTTTCTGTAGATGAGAAAGTGTTCAGTCCATCTTTGCCTTTAGTGAAGATAGCCCAAGGAAAGGTCAACAACTCATGAGAAACCAGCCAAAGCAATGCAACTTACCACTATCCTCAGCAGTAATCAGATAGTAATGAAAAGTCAGTTGCTGCAACATCATGACATGAGAAAACAAAAGAGGAAGGAAAGCTCCCTGTGGTGTGAAAGGTTTTACATGGATGTCATGGCTATCCACATTGTCTACTAAAATGAGATTTCATCACCCTGTGAATGGAAAACATCACTGGGAAGAGAATGCATAKAAGAGATGGAAAATGCACTGCCCTAAACTGTAGAAATGCAACTTAATGTAGTTTAATGAACAGTAAAATTTTCTTTCCACTTGTGAGAAAGACAGAAATAATTTAAATATCAAGAACACTTAAAGTTACTTTCTGCATTCTAACTTGTGAAAAGCTTATTAATTCTGCACAAGTCTTCTAGGAGTGGAGAAAGTTTGGCAGTGCAAGGCAAGATAAAAGTTATGATTAGACAGAACAGAGTATAAAATATTCAGAAATCGGGCGCTCATTTGATTGTTTTGGGTTTTTGTTAGCTGAAAAAAAGACACATACCCAGCTTAATTCTCCGCAGTTTGAATTCATTGGCGAATTTCTCYAGTTCCCGTATTTCAGGGGAATCCATGTCTATTGGCTCTTCAACAGACTTGTTTTTCCTGCGGAATTCCTGCTTGAAGTCRGAGGTTGTGGGATCATCTCCGAGAACGGACTGGTGCATGGGGGTGAAGCCATGGCCCAGAGCACAGGAACCAGCACTCAGAGCATGTTCAGGGAATTTATAAAGGCAAGGGGTCAGGCTACCTGGAAAAAAAATAAACAGTCAAACAAAAAACAATTCATCATTATTCACTTGTTCTACAGATTCAAAACATGATTTCATCACTTTAGAATKAAGGTCTGTAATATTTTATAGCACAGAATATTTTATATTTAGGGCATAAAGACTTTGCAGATCCAGTCTTTCTTCTATCCTTATATGTGAAAACAGAACAACAACCACTTGCAACACCAGTCACAGGAATCCTATTTGACAGGCAAACTGAGATGCCCTCAAATAATATGATAAATCATTCAAACTTAGACAAACAACAATCCAGGGCCTTAGTTTGTATGGCACAATGAGACTGATGGATCTATGTTACTTTTAAGCCACCTGAAATGTGCCAGTCTCTTTTTTTTTTTTTTTTTTTTTTTTTTTGGTATAAAGAATATTTCCATGTAAATACCATCAGATGCTTGACAAAATGCTCTTGTACTTTAGCTTTAGGACACTATTTTTTTTTCAAGAAACCACACAGATAAGAGCTCAGAGAAAAACAATATATTCAGAATTCATTCCAACTGAAAAAAAGAAAAATATTCAAGGATAAAACTATCTCAGGCTAAATATTGTTCACAAGCAGCAGACTTAACAAAGAAATTGAACCTAAAAGTCAAGGTTCTCTTCTGCTARAAGTTTTATGTACAGAAAAGTTTTGTATACAGCAAAAAAAGATAAATTTATTGAGAAAAAAAAGAAATATTAACCCTTTTAGTGGATCTGTAGTAGACAATAAATTCCACATCTTCAGGAAAACCTTCTCAATTTTTTAAATGACAGAAAAATTTATATTGGAACTTGCACTTTCATCGGTATGCCTCCCCTTCCTTATCTCATCAGAGCAGGCAGTTCTAGCCCCATAGAAATATTTTGTAGACTTCACACACTGTAATCAATCACACACACAACCAAAAGGGTTTTCTCAAGGAATAAAAGGAAAGGCTAAAGGAAGACTTGCTTTGTAAAGTGCTGACGCCATTTACTACACTGGGATGGGGCATGCTGCAYGTCTGTAAGATGCGACTCTGGGAGAGACTTGCTGAGAGCATCTCTGGAGTTGCAGGCTTGATGCCTAAAAAGGAAGTAGGGGTGTCAAAAGAGAAGACAAAGATGTAGATATATATATTTTGGAGTGGAACACAGTAAACTTCTGAGCGCCATCTTTATTTAATACCCTTTCTATGGACTTCTCCCAGGGATCTGAATAATGCCGGGAACATTTGAACAGACACATTAAAGATAATGAAATAGGAACATGTGGACAGCTTGCATAGTGAAGCAAACCTGTTTTCCATCCCTAAAAGTTCCCAATGTAGATGCATTCATCTGTGCTGACTTACTGTCATATTTGCTTCATTCTTAATAAAATGCTGAACTTGAATTTGCATATGCTTTGAGCGATGATTATTTTCTGGTAGCTGGCTTATCTGGCTGACCACAGTGTTTTATTGACTGCTACTTGATCTCACATAGAATAAAAATTCCTCTTTCTTTTTCATACTGGGAAATGTAAAACCGAGCAGGTTGCTGACATAAATTGACCGGTGTCGAAGTCTGCAATCATCTATATGAAAGCACTTCATACTGCGTTAGGAGATTTGGAGAAAGCATTCATTGAAGGAAACAATTTCTGTCTTTGGAGACTATTTCAATGTGTTTAATCTGTTACAAAAAAAAAAAAAAAAAAAAAGTTCTTCCTGATTGTAAATCTCTATTTCAGTTCTGGCCCTCAAGTTGCTGACCCTAAAGCCTGTGGGAGTTACCATGCACCTACAAGGTTAATGCTCACTTATACACACTTAATCATCCTAAATATAAGATTTTAGGGATTCTTTTTAAGTTTTATGGCAAAAATAAAGCAGCAAGGATAGTAAACTCAACAAGCACAGAACTGATCATGGTTTGATATTTGTCTCTCCAAGCCTGGGGACAGTTGTAATAACCGTACCTATCAACTGCAAACTGCCACACTGCCACTTTTTGTATCATGAGAAATCTTCAGGGAAAGGTACAAAATACGGCTCCAGAAAACACTCTTTCAAGTGTTTCCACATTTTCTCTGAGAGCACCTCAGAAAAAGAGGTCAGGACTTCTCACAGAGTTTGAAAATCACAGTTAACTGAATGTCAAGATCCATGAGGAACAAAAATGGTCACTTTTTGAAAAAGGCTTATTTTTGGTTTTTTTTTGGTTCTCACACATACTGTTACTTCTTGGTTGTCCTGTCACAGATGGAACAGAATCTACTTAATTCAGCTATCATTCTATTTCCAGTCATCATTTTATTCTTTATTTAATCATCGAGAATTTTCCATGAAGATTAGAGCCCCAATAACTAAACAAAGTCACGTTATGTAAGTTAGTCCTAGTTCCTGAAAGATGATAACCTGACCAGGCAAAGCAGACATCATATAAACAAACAGCAGTACTGTCTCAACCATTTCAGACAGACAGTTTGCATGATTTGTCTAGAAATGCAGAGTTTTGGGGAAATTGGGCATCTTCCCAGCCTCTTTGCTACTGTCTTAACCTCAATCATGTCCATTTTAAGCAACTATCTTGAAAGCATCCTTCCAAAGTAAAACTGACCAAAACAGCATGCTAACAGCTCAATCACTTACCTGTCATCACCCCATAGGTAGATGGTTGATTTCCATAATGACAAGATGGCACAGAGTAATGAAGACCTGCCGACGTGTTTCCCAAAGTTGTCATGGCAAAGTGGACATGGGAGCATTTAGGAGTTTGGATCAAAGACAAAACAGATGGGACTGGTAAGAAAATGTATGAGGATTCAAGATACAGTCTTTCAATTCAAAGGTAGACTACATTTTCGTAACTAGTTTCTCTGTGTGTATATTAAGCATTTAACTCCACAACTGTCAAGTTAACACTGCTGGAAGTCCAGAACACTTGACCATGCCTCACCACATGTGACTGTCAGCATAAAAAGCAAAATCTGCTTTGAGACATGGCCAACATTAGTCATGACTTATTTTTGACATTATTTTTAATGTAATCTACGCATGTATAACCACAGCTAAGGCTGCTATGTAAGGAAGGGAAACATTAATCTCTGCAGGAGACTGATTCTTGTTTACAGCCAAGTATATAAAACAAAAAAACCTCAAACTTGATTAAGTCTACTGCCATGTAAATCCTCATGTGAACATAGATATCTAGAAAGGCAGTGAATTGATCTCCATTGTCTTCACAGGCTCTTCTAAGAGGCAAAACAAGTAGCAGAAATTTGATGAAGAGAAGCAGAAAGAGATGCAGAACAGTGAGCTTGGCTTCACTATCATTATCAAGAAAATCAATGAATAGGTTAAGTCATTCCAGTAAAAAACTTTCTTTCCATTACTAAAGATTCTGTAAAATTTGCTTTACCCTCCACACCCTTCCAGTTCTGCTCAGCAAGTTTTGGAGAGCAAAACTCAGCAATTCTATTTCATACAAAGGGAAAAGTGTGTACTTCCAGTTTCTGTTCACTAACTTGTAATGCATGGAGAATCAGACAAGATTTTCTGAATACAAAATTAGAAATTTGGCTATTTTACATGCATAAGCAGATAAAAGAGTGTTCTCTTTGAAAACAACTATAAAACATAGGACTAAAGTATCATGTTTGTGAACATTCAGATACATAAGACTACAAATCAGAGCACGCATTGTAGTTGTTTGAAACAATATAATTAGGAATTAGAATTTTTGCTTTTACAACGGTAATCACAACATTAAAAGGTCCTGTTTAGACATATGTATGTCTAGATACAGTCTTTTCTAATGGCCTTGTTTATGCTATTATGTCCCCAAAATAGAGATTACATTAATACTAAAGCAATTAAAACAACAAACTTTCTTGTTCAGATAAGAGCTAAGTGTTTGCTGGTGTTGTTTCTATTATTAAATCCATAGACTGTATCATTTTTAGGCATAAGAAAGACATTCCTAACATACTAATAAAAATTTAATAGTAGGTGGTAAAGATGATGCTATTTAAATTAAGTCATAAAAATAAAAGTCTTTAGTATTCTACAGAACATTATCCATATGGCACGGATTATTTAGTTATTATTTAGCCAGATGTACACTCACCTGTATTTTATGATGTAGAATTACCACATGCATTTTAAAGAGTTTTGACATTTAAAATAAGTTACGAGTCCACATTCTTTCACATTTTTTTTTGCACTAGTTTTCGTTAAATACATTCACTTAGAGTGATATTGTTTATTAAAGTTGGTGAATCTATATCTGAGATTTGGAAATCCTTCCTTGTTAAATACCACCCTCTGTCACTGTTTCTGTTCTTACAAGGTCAATTATAAGATATGCTGCTGCAGACAATATTCCCCCTGACTACAGTGGTATTTGTCCTTGAGTGATAACTACAAAATATTAAAAGTCAAATCTCAAGCAGATCTGCAAATGTTTTCAGCAATTCTGTCTGTCACCATATACAGAGAGTAATGTAAGATGGAAAAATAAACAACTTCTTAGAAAATACTGCAAAGATGTAGATACATAAATTTGGCCACATACAAGTTAATAAAAACAAAATACTCAAACTGTTTTATTCCCTACCACCACCRCTCAACAAACATGGAATCATTTCATCACCAAAGCTCATTTTTCTTAGAAGCTTACATTAGTTTGGTGCTTTTTCATATTATTAAAAAATCTTAGCTCCAACATCTCAGCACTGAAGTATTTCCCCTGTAGTCTTAGCAATCCATTTCAGCAAAAGGATGGTTTCTTGGATTTTTTTTTTTTCTATTCTTGAAAGCTTATGCACCATCAATAACTTCTGCATTCCAAAATATCAATTCTGAAGATTCAAGTCAGCAAGAAYACTAATTCTCTCTCTAGGGGATAATTTAGTGTTTGCATTGTCCTACCACTCTACTGCTATCTTAGTACTGCTACTACTTTTTTAGGTAGTATATAAAAACATATGAAGTTCCAAAACAGATATGAGACTTCTCTCATCTATTTTTAATATTTCACTTAAATCTTAGTCTTTATTTTCTACATAACATGTTTAGAAAAACATTCTTTTCCTTCTTGAGAGATTCTCCAAATTATGTTTAAACCTGACCTATTTTAAATACATTTTCTATTTAAATTTATTTATATTATGTTAAAATGTGGTTACATAATAAAAAATTTTAAATTTATTTTACATTATATATGTCACATATCACGACATAATCATAACAGAAATTTGATTATGTTTTGCACCTCTATTAAGCGTGCTGATATACTTCTTAGTCTAACACTGTAACAAATTAACAGCTGAAACAAGTTTTGCTGAAATACAAACATTTTGGATGTTCTTGATTCACTCATTTATGCAGTCTTGTGAAAATGTTTCCTCCTGAAAATAGTCCCAAATTCAACATCAAATATTTTAAAAATTGCAGAAACAGATGATCACATATCATCTAAAATCACTACCAAAAAAAAATTATGAAGAGTAGTAGTATTTTTAAGAAGTACCTGTGGACACAACATTGGTYGCATGGTTAGAAACTGGTAGGCATTCTGCAGCGCTGTGATGCATTATCAGAGGTAGAGAAGAAGAGTCAGAATTCAAGGGTACAAAGGTATCAGATGAAGYAAACGCTTGGCAAGTCATACCCTCGAACAGATGAAAGACAAAGAGTCACCTTCTCCTATTTTTTAAGAGTACAGATCCTGCGTGATTACGAGCAGCACAAACTCTATTCCACTTCTTTTTACTTGCATATACATATACAGAAGGGCTCCAGAGCACAGGGAGGTCGTGTGCAGGTATTTATACCACTAGGAAATCCCTTTATCCATTTTAATGTTCTTTTCCCAGCAATATTGTTGTATCACTGTAGGGCCTCCTTCCTTCCCACACAAACACAATACACGTCCAATTAATGGTGGGGAAAGAAGAGGGAAACCAGAGACACAATTTGACATATATTTTCAATTAGGTCTTTTGTGAAGAACAATAACCTGAAAAAAATATCAAAGTACGATCTCCAACATCAGATGCAGTAAGATAGGTACGTTTAATACTAAGTAGGTTTACATAGCTAACACCTGCCCCAGCAATCTCATCCAGGCAATCGTCTGCAAAGCAACTAGGCTAAGTCAAATGAAAGTCTATAAAAGTCAAGAACCTATAGCAAAATAAGCTAAATTAGCCTGTKTCCTAGCAGTGCTGCAAAGATCATTTAAATTAGAGATGTGTAACCTGGGACAGCTGTATTCAAGAGGAAGTTTCTGAACAGATAGCTTTACATAAGCTTGAAATCCTGTTTTTTTTTTTCTTTCCTGAAAGATCTAATAGTAGCACAGAAAAAAAAACCCACATTCATTGCTATTATTATGAATGTATATTACCACAGTATCTATAGTCAAATTCAAAAAGTCCTAGTCTCCATTATTCTAAAAACTAAGTAAAAATCTCTACTCACTAACTATTGAAATATTTAATTTCTGTGAGTTTAGTATGACTTAGGATCAGTAAAGAGTATGCAGGCTACCCTGAAAATGATGAAGAAAAACACTGTAGTACACCACTGTCACATATTCCACATATCACTGAATCACAGAATGGTTGAGGTTAGAAAGGACTTCTAGGGATCATCTAGTCCAAATCCCCTGCTCAAGTCAGGACACCTACAGCACATGGCACAGGGTGGCATCCAGGCAGGTTTTGAGGATCTCTAAGGAAGGAGACTCCACAAYCTCTCCACAGCCTGGTCCAGGGCTCTGTCACACTTACAGTAAAGACTCTCCTCCTATGGAGATGGAACTTCCTGTGTTTCAGCCTGTACCCATTACCCCTTGTCCTGCCACGGCGAAGAGTTTGTCTTCATTTTCTTTACATTCTCCCTTTGAATATTGGTCTACGTTAATCATATCTCCCCCCAGTCTTCTCTTCTGTAGGCTARACAGGCCCAGCTCACTCAGTCTTTCCTCATAAGATAGATGCTCCATTCCCTTAATCATCTTTGTTGCTCTCCGCTGGACCCTCTCGAGAAGCTCCATGTCCCTCTTATACTGGGGAGCCCAGAACTGCACACAGTACTCCAGGTGCGGCCTCACCAGAGCTGAAGAGAGGGGCAGAATCACCTCCCTTGACCTGCTGGCAACACTCCTCCTGATGCAGCCAGGATCCCATTGGCCTTCTTGGCCACGAGGGCACGCTGTTGACTCATGATTCCTGGTGTCAACCAGGACTCCCAGAGACTGGGACACTCCCACGGCATTGCTTTCCAGCAGGTCAACCCATAATCTATACTGGTGCCTGGCTGTCTGGGTTTTTTTGTCCTCAGAAATGGCAGATGGAGAACTGTATGATGACTTCCGTCATCCCTGTATCATGSAGCAATACGTATAGAAATTAAATAAAGAAACAAACTGAGCAAACATGTTCAAGCAAAAGTTGAAGCACTTCAGCTACAGCAAATTGAGCTCTGATAGGTATTTGGCTCACAGACTCTCAACCTAGCACTGATGGACTCACCTCAAGCAATCAGAGTAGCTCTCTGTTATTTTTAAAGCATTGTTTAATTTAAAGAATGCTCTTTAACTTATTTTCGTTAAGGAAGATAATATATGATTTTAATCTAGGTCGCACTGAGATGTTTCCAAAGCCTTATTAATGACATAAAGGTCTCAATTTTCTATGGTATTTCTAGAGATGGACTCTCTCAAATTTTTTAGGAGGAAAAACAATTTGATATTCGGGTTTCTTTTTTTTTTTTTTTTGTGAACAAAGGTGATTGAGTCAGACTATTTATTTCCCATAAAAATGACAATATTTTCCCTGTGCAGGCCTGTTGCCATAATAATATATAGAATGTTTAAAATGTCTGAACTAGGATTTTAATACCATTGAATTCAGACATGTGATATATGAGATATTATGCAGCAGTCATTTTGGAAGGTTAGCATTGAATCAAATCATTATGTAGMATATTTGACGTCACCTTCAATACTTCTTTTTGGGCGAGTGCTGTATTTCTAGATGTTTAAATATTTCACAGTTGAAACTGTAGAGGATAAACTAGCTCTATACTTCAGCAGTGKTATAGCTCAATGCTCATAATTACTAACTTGCATATAGGCTTAAATATTGAAAAAATACTAAAACATTAAAATAATCATTATACTATTAAACAAAATACTTTCATTAAATTAACTGCCATCTATATTATTTTGGGCTTGGTTCAACATACATTCAAGTCTGTGGACTCATGAGTACTTCAACTAATGAATGAGAAAAGGGCCTTAATCTCACACATTTTATTCACATGAAGATAACCACATAACTTTCAGATCAGGAAACTAACTAATGAAAAAAACTAAGACAAAAATTAGCACAGTTGATCTTGCTCTATAACACTTTCCACAGAATAAATTGTCCTTCAATAGTATGTCCTTTATGTAAAACACAAATAATTTGTTTAGCTTGAGTGACAGAAGTCACACTTGGCCATAGCACTACAAACAATTGGAAAAAAAAATTATTGTATTCTCTGGAAATTTGTCAACATTTTTTTAAAAACATTTCTTCTCTTGGTGACCTTTTCTCCCTGAGCAAGAAGAATTAGGCATCCATGTCAGGCTTCAGCCCACATATCTGCTAGGCCTTCAAAGCTTTAGGAGAAAAAGGAACAYTTATGAAGAACCTTCCAAAACTATCCTTGGCATTTTTTTTTTCTTCAGATCCCGACTGGTAAGTTTTCTACTGCAAACTCATTTCTAGCTGTAAAGAACTTATAAAGACTGTTTCCAAGTGCAAGATGGCACTTGCTTCCAGATTTCTAGTCCTTTCTGAAATCACAACTAACTTTGYGTAGTTGCTCAAGTCTTCCTTGGAGGTAGAAGGAGACAACAGAGAGTCAACAAAGATTACTAGGGGAGTTGACAGTGGGTTAACAAAGCAATACTGAGCCACAGAAGCTCAGATTGAGGGARAGCATTGCTAGGTATTGAATTTATCTTCTGAGCACAGTGTAAAGCCWTTTTGTGATTTCTGTTGAGCATGCCCAAAGAGTTCTTTTTCATGTGATCTTTTCATCTCTAGATGAGATGACACTCAACCTCTTATACTCAAGGTTATAGTGGGGATTGTGACTYAAGTCTCTGAAGTGTACTTGCCCTGCCTGAAGGGTCCTGCCCTGCTTGCCTTGATGACTCTTGTTTTGCAKCAGGCACTTATTTCAGAACCCAGTYCCTGGCAATGTCAAAGTAATGGGGCATCAGTTATCACTTGCCCCACTTTAGTAGATGCTATTGCAGATATCCCTGTTGCTCTTCCTTGAGAACAAAGGCAGACTGAGTATTCCTCACTCCCCATCCTGGGAAGGATGCCTAAACATCTGGAAAAGGATATTATCTGTAACTTCCCTCTGAAGAGAGGAAGGGAAAAGGATAGAAATAATACGCAATAATCCAATAAACTTGAAGGAACAGTATGAGATCTCCAGATTGTAAATAGGAACTTTGACAGCAGCTCCAATGATGCTCCATATGCACATTTCCAGTCTGTAAGGGATATGTGTATATCATKAATTCATCATAACAAACCTCAGGTTCCTTAGAAAAGTAACCTTCAGTTTTGCTTTTACTGTACACAGTGAGGGAGAGCGAATCCATAACACTTTCTATTTCTGATCCTACTGCAGTGTGAATCCTGTCCCCATTGGACATTTTCGCACAATGAGCTTCACTTTTTTTTTTTTTTTAACAAAAAAAAAATCAAATTGATTAGATTTTCCAATAGTTAGCATTAATAGAACTGCTATCCAACACTTCAAATTTATACCAGTTGTAAATCTTCCTATGTTTTCACCTACTCCTTGTAATTGCCTTTGTATTTAAATAGAGAAATACTTTCTGTATTTTAAAATCCTTCTATGTTTGATTTTTATGTGGTATATCAAACTCTTCATATTTCAACTGCATAATTTCTTGCTTGGTTTTCATCTCCTGAGTTGAGTATAAAGTATAACATAAATCAACAGGAAAAAGAAAACTACCTTCTGATTCACTTCTATTTCTCAGGCAACAATCTTTTGCAGATACACAATAAGGCATTTATTGAGTACTTTACCCTCAATACACACTCCAACTGTATTCCAGATTAACAGAGAGCTCCAGCTCTACTAGGCTTTAATTGAGATAATTTCTCTCTATAGGGTATTTTCTTAGTTGTTCTGCACTGCTTGGGAGGAATCATCAGATTATGATCATGATGAGGAATCCATCGCAACTGAACATGCACATGAAGCATCYAAGCTCTCCCTAGTCAATCCTGTGTGTTTGGGCTTCTGTGCTTTCTGCTGGCTTTGTAAAGAGCAGCTTGGAAGCAGAAATATCCATCAGCACTCACCAGCTATGCCARAGAGCTGTGAATCCCATAGCAAACTTAACCCCAGGGTCTCTTTAGCACAGAGGCTTTTGGTGCTAAGGAGCAGCACAAGCCACTGTATTTTTCAAGGATCCGTCTTCAGAGTAAGCAGGCCCAACTGCAGGTGGCGTGCAGAAGGGGCCTGGAAGTAACAAGCACGACAAAAAAAGAAAGACCTGTGATAGATTTCACCCATTTTGGAATAGAAGCATTAAATATACCAGTATATTTATTCAGAA